ATATGTCCTTTTCTGAAGCAAACTGGCTTATTCTCTCGGGCCCGCCCAGTAGGGTAGGCGAGAAATGTAATCTCAGGTGTTTGGGGAGTAGAGAGCATATGGAAGACCTTTCACAGACAAGATGATTTTCAGAAGAGCCTCTGGTCCTTTATTTTTATCACTTATGTGTTCTTGTCCAAGACCGTGTGATTTTTTTTTCTTGATTTCAGAGAGGAAGGGAGAGGGAGAGAGAGATAGAAACATCAATGATGAAAGAGAGTCATTGATCAGCTGCCTCCTGCATGTTCCGCATTGGGGATTCAGCCTACAAACCCAGACATGTGCTCTGACCTGGAATCGAACCGTGACCTTCTGGTTCATAGGGCAGTACACAACTACTGAGCCACATTGGCTGGACTAAAGAAACTTTTTTAAAAAGATTTTTAAAATTGATTTTTAGAGCAGTGGTTCTCAACCTTTCTGATGCCGCGACCCCCCTCATGTTGTGGTGATCCCCAACCATAAAATTTTTATTGCTACTTCATAACTGTAATTTTGCTACTGTAAACAATATGTAATTATATATGTGTTTTCCAATGGTCTTCTGCGACCCCTGTGAAAGCATCATTCAACCCTCAAAGGGGTCGCGACCCACAGGTTGAGAACCACTGTTTTAGCGAGAGGAAGGGAGAAGGTGAGAGAGAGAAACATTGATGTGAGAATGAAACATCAGTTGGCTGCCTCCCTCGTGCCCCCTGCCGGAGGTTGAGCCTGCAACTGGGCATGTGCCCTGACTGGGAATCAAACCAGGAACCTTTCAGTGCAGGCGTTGATGCCCAACCAACTAAGCCACACCGGCCAGGGCAAAAGACATTTTAAAAGGCAACTTTTTATTCACAAATAGATGTTAAATGAAAAATGTTACTAATTTTTTAAGTTAAAGTAAACAAGATGCACAGAATATTCAAGCTGACTGGTTTATTAAAATTCATTCCTGATAACTTTCAGTGTGAGGAAAGAATGTTCACTTGAAAATTAAGCTATATTCTTAGTGTTTGTGTAACATGAATTTAAGAGTAATATGAAATGGAATTGGAAAGAATTTCTCTAAGGAGAGAAGTTTATATAGGTTTTTAGTTTGTGGGGTTTTTTGTTTTGTTTTGTTTTTTCAGTTTTGTTTATTTTCCTGATAGCTTTTGCTTGCTTTTCCCCCTGAAATTTGGCTTTCATCTGTGTAATGTTTTAAACCTCTATAGTCTTCCCTTTTAAGAGCCTAGTTTCAGATAATTTGTAAGTTTGAGTGTGGTGGATAATAAAAGGTTACTTTCTGACTTAATACCAGGGTTTTATTAGCTGTGTATTTATTTTAGGAAGTATTAGCACTATATAATTTAAAATGAAAATTTTTCTATATAATATATAGTTTAATGTTTGCATATCATATTTCACGAGTCACTACAATAAGTCATTGTAATATTGTCCCCAGTCCCATCAGAATTAGGGTAATATTAGGTTCAGCATATCATCTTAAATGGCAAGGGAGGAGGCATACTTAAGAAAGATTTTAACCCTCAAATGACAGAATAGAAGAAAACATGTTGGCATTTAAAAGGATAAGATTCTGGGAATGCCATTTGTACCATTTTCCCTGTCATGCTACATTAATGAAGTATAATTCTATTCTCTTATAACTTTCAGCTTTTAAAATAAAGTGGGTTGCAACAGAATTATTATTGTATTTGATATATTTATATTTAGCTCTAACAAGTAAATCCTACAAATTTCTCAGTTTTGAGGGCTTATTTTTTTTAAGCCCAATTATATGTAAGGTTATTTTAAATGACTTCTTCCTATAGCAAGATATTAATTAGCGACTTTATTATTTTGACAGTCGAGTTGAACTGAAAAGACTATGTGAAATTTTTACAAGAATGTTTGCTGATCCTCATGGCAAGGTATGTTTTAGTATTTAAGATTATTTACTCCTGTAGGTGTCATTTGTATATTGCCCAGAAAAGAAATAAAATAATAACAAAAAAAACCCAAAAAGCCATTTTTATTATTGCCCTAGAATTGTAATAATCTTTTCAAACATAATTGAAATTGTTTTATATCATACATAATTTAGAAGTTGCTCTCTGGTAATCATTTATGTTTCTTGGAAGAGTGATTGTCTAAGACTACAAACTGAAGGGTATAGTAACAAGCAGGACTCTTATAAATTAGTCAGGATGAGTGTATATATTTGTATTTTAAAACATTCCACAATTTATAAAGGAAATAATTGGGGTAAGTTTGTAACTTTTTATCCAGGTTTCTTCTGTGATTATTACAACATTAATATAACATATACTATCTTAAAAGAACAGTTAAAAAGAAAAAAATTTTATTAAATAACACAAAAACACAAAATATGGCTTTATCCATAGTTCGATAGTAATCTGAAAGAAGCAATTTGTATATTGAAATAGTCCATAACATTTTAGAATGCTGTTCAGTTTTTAGTGTCGATGAAAACATATTTGATTACGTACTTCTACATAATCTGCATATTACTGTGAAATTTTGGTTACTTTGATGGATAGCACTGTTGTAAAATGTACTCATTTATTTTGTTTTCAGCAGTGTATTTGACAATGGTGAAACTTTATTATGTCTCTTCCTTTAGGACAGACACCAGGTATCCACATGAGCATTTCTAACCCAGATGAGAGGGAGATGTGGAAGGGAAATTATAAGAAAAATATTAATGAATTTCACTTTACTGTGTGTTTTTGTTTTGTTTTGTTTTCATTTTATTGTTGCACATATCATTTTCTCTTTTTTTCTATCTCTGATCTTTTTATTACTTAACAACACTGATTAAAAATATTAAAATCCCACTATAAAATCCAGCTAAAGATTATAAATTACCTATTTAAAATTACTATTTTAAAATATTATCCTCTATCAGAAGGTATATTTATTTTATCCAAGAATGTAAAAATCCCATTAAAGACAAAGATTAAAGCAGCTTACTTAATAAAACTTTAAAAAATTGATAACTCTCAAACCGTAGGTAGGTAACTGTACCATTTTATATTGTCATTGATTAATACCACTATTTATAGCTGTAGGACTTGCCTTAATGCAAAATTTTTTATAAATTCTGATCAAATTAACTGTTGATGTACTTTGTTGGCAATACAAGCCAAAGGACAAGACAGTTATGATCTGTGTGGACTGTACAACTTTAAAATGAAAAGTTTTAAAACATCTTCAATAATTTATTCCTCCTAGAACAGGGGTGGGCAAACTTTTTGACTCGAGGGCCACAATGGGTTCTTAAACTGGACCAGAGGGCCGGAACAAAAGCATGGATGGAGTGTTTGTGTGAACTAATATAAATTCAAAGTAAACATCATTACATAAAAGGGTACGGTCTTTTTTTGTTTTAGTTTTATTCATTTCAAACGGGCAGGATCCGGCCCGCGGGCCGTAGTTTGCCCACGGCTGTCCTAGAAGGTAGAAGACTGAGCCTGGTTTATTTCTAGAAGTCACAATTTTTGATTGTCAAGACAATACTGCAGTTTAGTTGGATGCTACAGTTTACATGAAATAAGGAGAAACACTTTTTAAGAGTCTCTTGGAAATAAAATAAGAAAGCTGAGTTTGATGCTGGTAAAGGAACTATTTGGCCTCCCTTAATAGATGTGGAGAACCAGCTACAGCCCTCTCTAGAATTGTCAGGAAGGGGACTTTTTAGTTTTTCCTTGTAGAATTTTATAACAGGTCTTAGTGACCCATCTGGCTTTGTTTGTCTGGTTTGATATTTTGTTAGTTCAGTGAAGACAAATGTAATTGGAAGATTTTGCTTAACTTGTTTTTGGTGATTGTCCAAGAGAGGCTCTGCCAGTAATGTAATTTACTAGGATAAACAGGCTATATCACTATATCCTGAGTTTAAAGGTTTGATTTCGAGTTTTAGCATTATGTCCTCATATTATTAAAATAGCAGGTATTTCCCCACCCCTTTTTATTTTATTTTTTTAATATATTTTATTGATTTTTTTACAGAGAGGAAGGGAGAAGGATAGAGAGTTAGAAACATCGATGAGAGAGAAACATTGATCAGCTGCCTCCTGCACACCTCCTACTGGGGATGTGCCCAGAACCAAAGTACATGCCCTTGACCGGAATCAAACCTTGGACCTCTATTCACTGAGCCAAACCGGTTAGAGCTCCCCACCCCTTTTTAAAATGTATCTTTATAAAGTGTCAACAGCTGCTGCACCTTCCATATCAAGCAACTGTTTTTTATACTTTTCTTTCAAATACAGTTTTGTTCTTTATCAAGAGTCTGTAAAGGGCCAGATAGTAAATAAGGCATTGTGGGCCAAAATTATCTCTGTCATAACTATTCAGCTCTGCCATTAATAGCATGAAGGCATCCATAGACAATGTATAAATAAATGAAGATGGCTGGCTTGCAATAAAACTTTATGAATATTGACATTTTAGTTCTCATAGTTTTCATGTGTCACTAACTGGCCTATTGACTTAAAATTTTTTTTTAAATATAAACCATTCTTTTACAGACTGCAGTTTGCTGGCTCTTGTTCTATATCAACTCTTTAAGTTACTGACACTAAAATAGAAACACAGAGTTAAGACCCTTTAAGTCCTGGCTGGGTAGCAAAGTTAGTTAGAACATCGACCCTATATGCCAAGGTTGTAGGTTGGATCCCTGATCAGTGCACATACTAGTACAAGAATCAACCAGTGAATGAATAAATAAATGGAACAACAAACTGATGTCCCCTCCTTCCCCCTCTCTCAAATCAATTCTTCTTAAATCCTCACCCGAGGGTAGTTTTTCATCGATTTTTAAGGATAGTAGAAGAGAGAAAGAAAGACAGAGAGAAACATTGATTGGCTTCCTCCTGCATGAGCCCCGACCAGGCTTTGGTCCTGATGAGAAGCCTGCAACCAAGGCACATGCTCTTGACCAGAACTGAACCCAGGACCCTTTGGTCCACAGGCCAACACTCTATCCACTGAGCCAAACCGGCTAGGGACAATTTTTTTTTTTTTTAAAGACCTTTTACCAAAGGGGCTCATGCTACTGGTTGAAGGTTGGAACGATATACTCTAGCCCCTGCTGGATGAAACCATCCCTGTGTATTCCTATATATCCCAGCCATTCTCCATTTCTGACCTGTGATTTTTGTCTAACTATTCAGGGCTGCCTGGTAATTCTCTTCCTCTCGTCTTTCTCTTCTGTCCTCTGTGGAAACCGTGTCAAATAGTCTGTCCTCAAAAATCAAGCGCTGTTCACCTCCCCACCCATCTCATGCCCCAAGTAGATCTCCTGGCCTCTTACTCCATTTCCTAACTCTAAAACAGCAAACTTAACTACACATCAGCCCATTCTTCCTACCTTTCTTCCTATTGAAATGGAAGGAGGGCTTACTTTAAAGTTGTTGTTCAGCTACATAAATACAATGTGATAATATGGTCTCATCAGCGTGGTCAGGAATTTCTCATAAATTTTAGTTTGTTGATTGCCATACCTTTTTGTTTTTCAACTTTGTTATGAGTTTATTCAGTGTGTCCTTTCTGTCATTTTAAGGACTGTGCTGTGGGAGAGGAGGAAGAGGTCTGGTTTTCCCCTTCTGTTGTGCCTGACTTAGTCTCTTTCACACCATTTCTTCTGCTCTTTATTTTCAGACACCTATCTCTCTGCTTGTGTTAGTAATGTTAGTGTTGACTTAGAGACTGTCTTAGGCCCTCTTCTTTCAACTTCATACCTTCTCTGAAGAATAAATTACCCGCTTCATTTTAATGACTCTCAAACATGTCCTTAAAGCCCATTTTTCCTCCTGAACTTTTAGTCACATGACTACAGGTCATCTTCAGCTTCAAAGCTATTCTTTCTCATGCACTGGTTTATCTGATACAATGAAACCACTGTCCCCTCATTGCTTAAGTGAAGAATTTGGGCATCATTCTAGAAACTTCCCTAAATCTTTTCTTTTTTTTTAAATTATAATTTTATTGATTTCAGAGGAAGGGAGAGGGATATATAGAAACATCAGTGATGAGAGAGAATCATTGATCAGCTACCTCCTGCACACCCACACTTGGGATCGAGCCCACAACCTGGGCACATGCCCTGACTGGGAATTGAACCATGACCTCCTGGTTCATAGGTTCATGCTCAACCACCATGCCATCCAGGCTTCACTCAGTCGTAATTGATTCCACCGTTCAGCCATTCTCAACCTGTTGGTCACGACCCCTTTGGCGGTTGAATGACCCTTTCACAGGGGTCGCCTAAGACCATCCTGCATATCAGATATTTACATTACGATTCATAATAGTAACAACATTACAGTTATGAAGTAGCAATGAAAATAATTTTTTTTCTGCTTTCTAAGAAAGTTTATTTTTTTTACATTCTAAATAAATTTTTATTGTTCAGATTATTAGTTGTTCCCCTTTTTTCCCCCCATAGCTCCCCTCCACCCAGTTCCCACCCCACCCTCTGCCCTTACTCCCACCCCCCGTGTCCTCATCCATAGGTGTATGCTTTTTGTCGCCGGGTCAAAGGTCATACACATGGAAAATGTAGCTATTTCCATCCGCAACGTGTCCCTGTGTTTGGAAAGGTCTCTCACGACTTGTTCATGCTCTACTCAGAAAGGGTACGGAGCCACGTAATGGCTTTTTTAAAATAATGTATCCTCTTAAGTTTAAAATGAGGATTTTGGTGAAGGTGTGAGACAGAAGCTCCTCTCACTGTCTCTCCTGCTGCTCCCTTGCGTATCGCCGATGCTGTAAGTTTCTGAGAGCAGTCTGCAGGTGCTGGACATCATACTTTAACTGGTCAACACGAAGTTTGGCATTCTGTCTTTTGTTGGGCGGCTCCTTACTGGTCAGAATCTCCAGGTGTTCTAACTGGCTGAATATCTGGTATGCTTGCTTGGATTTCGTTTTCTACTAAGTGCACAGACTGCTTGTCTGCCATCTCCCAGCGTCCCATGTGAGACTGGGTCTGGTGGACCTGCTTGTGCGATTGCTGGTACAGCGGTTCCACGTCGCCGGCCCAGCCGGGTCCGGCTCCTGCTTCCTCCGAACCTGATTCTGCTTCTTGAGTGTGTCCCTTATGGATGCGAGGAGTTGAAATCTGCAGTTTGTTGGGTTAGGCTGCAAAAGCGCAGGTGGTTCCTTTTGTGCCACTGGCACAGCTTGGGTGGGGATGTAAATTGAGTAGGGTGGAGTCTCAGAGAATCACCAGAGCTGAGAAAACAGCAATGGCGTCTCCGCATCCCCGAGTGCCAGTGAGCAGCTCCGCGAGAAAGCCACCCTCGCTCTCCGACCCGCTGCAAGGCAGTCCCGCCTCTCCCTGTAGGGCTCTGGGACCTCAGAATCCCACCCCAAAGAAGATCAGTGGATTCGAGCGCTTGTATCCCCTTCCGATTGAAAAAAACCGCACATCTGGTTGCAGCCCGCCTGGCGCGTGACTCCTTACCTCTGTTCTTGGCACCTTTGCACCTCCTACTCAGTCTCAGTGCGCTTCTTTCTTTCCTTCCAGTTGTAGAACTTACACTGGGCCAGCTTTCCCATGGTTCTGGATGATAGCTGCTTTGTCTTATAGTTGGTAGTTTCAATGTTGTTGTGGGAGGCAGCACACACAGGTCTATGCCTTATGCCGCCATCTTGGTTCTCCGCAACGAAAATAATTTTATGGTTGGGACACAACATGAGGAACTGTATTTAGAGGGCCAGAGGGTTGAGAACCACTGGTTGAAATAATTCCCTATTCCCACTACTAATTCAGGGCACCATCATCTTTTGCCTATTGTACCTCCTCTCCACCTTTTATCCCTGAATTCTCCACACTGCCTTCTTTAGCAATCTTTCTAAAAGGTAAATAAATCTTCTCTACTAGCTTACAGCATTTCAGTGACTACTCAAGAAAATGTTCGAACAAAGCCTATCATTTTGGCTTGTTATTGCCTCTTCATCTCAGCCCCGCCTGCATTGTTCATTTCCCCACATGTGCCAGCACTTTTCCCTATAGCTTAAGTGTGCTATCAGGGACACTTTTTTTTTTTAAGTCTGGGTTAACTCTTTACGCTGAATTGAAATCACTTCTGTGCAAGCTCACAGGGCAGAAACAGTCTGAAGCCTTTCCCCCAGAATGGGCCCTAGTGTTGGGGAGATACCTCACACCATGAGCATGGTTGGGTGGGTTTTCCCATGTTCTAGGTTGAAGTCAGCATATCAGTCTCTATGCTAATAGCTTCTGGATAGTAGCCGGCTTCCGTGATAACTGAAAGTTGTCCTCTTCCCCAACATGACAGACCACCTGCTGTCCCTGCAGAAAAGGGCTATTAGAAAATCAAATTATGAGCATCCATGAAAGTCCCATCTCCTTTCACCCCTTTGTCACCCGCTGTAGCCCCCAGAATGTTTTCTTCTGATATATATTAGGGTAAGGATATGAGCCCCACTAAAATGTCAGGCAAACTCCATTGTACAGCGCAGATATCCCAGAAAGGAAGGGTTAGAAAAGAGCTCTTTCTGAATACAGTTGAAATAGATGCTGGATTCCTTTCCTGGGACAAAAGTAATGTACCATGTATTTGGTAAATAGAGTTTGCAAGCTGAAAATATCTGATGTCTATAACTTGATAAATAAACTTTTTTTTTTATTATTACTTCAGATACCAGTATGGAAGTAAGGGATCTACAATCCATGTGTGACAGTAATTTAGACCATAAAGTTACAAATGTATAATTTAAAGCCCCTTAATAACTGTATAAGAGAAGCAGTACACACAGTGATAACAAGTATGCATATTGGAGCTAGATTGCTTAGGTTCAGATTTGACCTCCAACACCTACTAGCAGTGTGTGCCTTGGTTTCCTGATCCTATATAAAAAAAGCCTAATGTGCAAATTTTCCCCTCAACCAGGAGGCGGGGCCAGCTGGCCAACTGCCCACCGCCCCTCCTCCCAGCTGGCCCCACCCCCAGTCAACCC